TGTTTTTTTCAAAAACTGTTTTAAAATTTAAAATTTTATAAACGGTCCCCAAATTTTGCCTTATGTATGTAGATTAAAAAACAATTAACCATTTTTTAAATCAAGCAACTACTAGTTTACTTAATTAAAGCTACTTTTACTAATCCAATTTATTTTTACCTATTCGACCATTAACTTAACTGTAAGAACTTTTCAAGCAATATCTTATCCTCACTTTAATATTAATTATTTAATCTGATTAGCACCATAAAGTGTCTAATATTTTCACTTTAATATTTGAGACTCGGTAATGGATTCCAGGGAAAATAAATTAGAATTCTTATATGCATTATGTTTTTATTCTTTTCTTATCCTCTTCTTAAAATGTGAAGATTTACATTTAAACTAAGTATAACGATCCAAAGATTTGAGCACTCCGTGAACGGATTTGTCTAATTGGAACGGGAATTCGGAATTCTTGGTATTGCATGGATTCTTAGAGGAAGATTTCTGTGAAGCTTGCTTTGCTACATTTCGTTAAGAGTAACTTTATATTTAATGTTTTCGTAGAATATTATATATAAATTTCGTTGAATTGTAAATTTAGCTAGGGACATATTTTGACCTAGTTTATAGTTTATTATGAAAATTGTTTTATTGTTTATAATTTTGTATAATAATATTGTTATTTATTTTTTATATAATTTAAATTATAATATTAATATAAATATGGAATCCGGCTGAAGGACGAAAGTCAATGGCCTTTTGGAAAAATGTATTTTTTTTCAATAAAGAACATTTATTATTATTATTAAATATGGAACATAAATATGGAAAAGAATGATTTTAAAATTACAACCTTTTAGTGAAGCAGAAGTTCTTGTTACTTGTTATTAGCAAAGAATTGGTTCATTCGCATTAAAATTATGCCGTTACGGCGGTTAACTTGAGCAATTAGAACGCTGAATACTTGAAGGTTAACCTCAAAAAGAAGTCGCTACAAGGTTGAATGTGTCCCAAAGTGTCGTAAGTCAAGAATGGAGTCGGTATGTAGCAACTTGGTCTCCAGCATACACGTATGGATAAGGACTCATGCCAGAAGAAACCGAACATTTACAGCTTACAGCTATCGGAAGAGTAATTTGTTCTCTAAATGTCAGAAGAAGGTTGCATGCGTCTAACTTAAGAGCAAGAAGAAGATATCCACGGTTAACACCGAGGCAACGTGCATGCAGATATCGTTGGGCGACAGATTGTCTTTTTTCTGACGAGTCCAGATTCCTTTTGTATACGTGTGATGGTTAAATACTGATATGGAGGGAAATACACTGTTTAAAATATCTGTGGTGTAAAAAGTAATCCTAAAATGGTGTCAAAATCCAACACCAAGTGGTGTTAATATAACACCATAAATTATGGTTGAAAATGTGTACCGATCGCGGCAAAGGCGGTGTGGATCACGTGATGTTCTTAAATCTCGCGTCTGTTGACTTACATGAATATATAAACTGAGGTAATCCTTTGCTTTGGTGTGACACTACAAGTTGTTCGATACTAAAGAGACCTTAAATAGGTGGAAACAGCTGTCAATACTTAAAGTATTTTAGGTTAGTGCAACGCACTAAAAACATTATCTCTAGCGAGTTGAAGGTTCCATTTTCTGGAATAATACCACTGGTAATATACTAGTAATGCGTCAAGGAACTTCTTGATTCCTTTTTTTTTTCCTTTTTTCTGTGTAGTATGATTTAATTTGTCCACAAACACATAATATTTAACACTGAAAAGGAGTTCAATTTACACCAAGTAAAATTTATTTTAATACTGTGTGAAATTTAAATTAACACCATTTTAGTATTTTAATTTACACCGGCCAACGGACCTTATTTAACACCATTTTGGTTTGGATCGATAAAGACCATGTTTGGTGTTAATTTGGTTTTAAAATGGTCATGAAATTTTGAACAGTGTAGGTCAGCGATACAACGAAAATGCCAACCACTCCTTTTGGTGGCGGAGCCGATAATTGTAGCATTTGCAGTTGCAATAGGTGAAAGATTTGTTTTTATCATCGATAATGCCCGCCCTTATAGTGTACGGCAAGTAAACGATCGGATAGAATATCATGGGATTACGAGAATTGAATGACCAGTTGGTTCACCAGACATAAATTGCATTGAACCCGTTTGGGCCAAAATTTCCAGGCAATTAAATCGGCTTCAAAAACCTCCCCAAACATTGCAACACATGGCCAATGAGTTGCAAGCAATCTGGAAAAACATACCTCGAGACTTCATTAATAATTTGATCATGAATCTTCAAAACAGGGTAAAAGCGTTAAGGCGAGCCAGTGGTGGTCCTACACGATATTAAACTTTTATACAGCTGGTGCGAATTTTGCTGTATTGAAAGGAACGGCTAAAATAATTACAACATAATTAAGGGTCCCCACAGTATATATATATATATATATATATATATATATATTAGGGTGGGTCAAAAAAATCGACTATTTTTATTTTGACTTCTGCCACTGAAAAATCGGTTTCTGGGCACCTTCAAAACATGCTTAGTAACGATGAGCTCTTAACTTTGATGGGAAGATCAGCCTCATTACAGTTTTGCATATTTTTCTTAGTCCCCTACAAAAAAATTCATATCTCATCATTCGTTAATCATACAGCAAAACTCTAAGGGAGTTATTTGTATAAAATTATCTCTTATACTACTTTTTTGATCAATCTAACTATTAAAGAGATATTCAAGGTCAAAGATTGAAGAATTTTAAGAAAGATAACTTTTCTGTTCTGAACTTTGAAACTTACTAAAAAAAAATTATCGACAATTGAGATTTTACTATGTCTATCGGAAATTGAACGCTCTACAAAAAAGGTCTCACACCACACGAGCCGTAAAGATTTATTTACAAAGCTTGACACGTAAATAACTATAAAACCTAATAGCTCCACTTAAACACTTTTGTATTTAATTTTTTTAAGTTTTTTTATAATTAATAATATGAATTTAATATAATTATTTACACTGTTGTTTTATTGGAGTCTCCAGCCAACCGATCAACTAACTATAAAACAGAAGAATTATTTATTTAATGGGTAAAATATAATACAAAAAATACTTACTGCCCTGCTAAGCCAAACCCCTGTATGTCCAATAGAGGAATTTCGTCCTAGTTTCGATTTCTTTCTTGGTCTTCCACGAATAAAACTAATTTAACGAGGAAAATGTTAGTCTTTGAGCATCAAAGTTAAGATTTAAAATATGAACTCACTTTATTGATGAACCGGTCACAATACTTGCAAGCATATTATTCATTCATATTTATTAATTTTTATTTACGTAAGTTTAAAACAAACCAAGAAAATGTGCTATCAACTGAAATAAAATTTGACAGTAACTGTACCTGCATTACCGGCGGCGATAAAATGGAAATTAGCGCCCCTAGTAGTAAAAAAAAGACAAATTTTCAATATATTGAGTTTATTTTCAATATATTGGATTTATTTTCAATATATTGGATTTATTTTCAATATATTGGATTTATTTTCAATATATTGAATTTATTTTCAATATATTTAATTTATTTTCAATATATTGAATTTATTTCCAATATATTGGATTTATTTTCAATATATTGGAAATAAATCCAATATATTGAAAAAAATAATGTTATTATAATTGTGTGACCCCAGTACGCTTTCGTATATATTCATGCACGGATATTAAAAAGAAGCCCATTAAATAACACAGAATCCCGAATTCCGTTCGTACAGGAGGGAATTTAGATATTTAAATATTAAACTTTCGGTGGCTTGTGTTATAAATTAATATCAATAGTATACTATATTATGTGTAATTGGTTGCATTACATGTTAAATGTTTAAATAAAGAACACAGTAAAAAGTATGAGAATAGGGGAAGAAAGTTTGATATTACTTATTAATAATCGAGAATACAATTTATATAAACTGGCAATACTTATTAAATTTTTGAAATTTAAAAATCATTTTTATGAAGCAGGTGCCCCAAAACTGGTCACAGACGCAATATTATATAAATTTTGTAAATGTGCTCATTTTTTTATTATCTTGATTACTATTCGTTGAGATTTAAAGTGCATAGAACAAAATTATGTACTCTTTTGCAACAAAAAGTTTAGAAGTTATTTATAGGTCTGTTATAAGATCGAGCCAATTTCGCAAAATACCTTCTAAAGTTTTTTTATAAATAAGCAAACATTTTTATAAATGTATTTTGACTGTAACCTAATGAATAATGCAAGCCCAAAATTGTTTCTATCAGTACCTCTTTTCACTTGTGGCCACCATAGAGCAACTTGCACTTAACTTAACCTACCATTTTCATATTACTTCCTATGAAAAGAAAAATATTTTTTCGAGGGAAAACAATAGAAAATTTATTAAAAGATTATAACAACAAAAGCAAATGATTTATTTTATTTTTTTTTTAATTTTTTTAAAATACGAAAAATTTTAAAAAATTTGCCAAATCAATCAATTTTGTAAAAATTTATTGGCGATTAAAAAAAATCAAATTTCGAATAATAATAATATATATAATACTAATTTAACTGCATGTTAAACTTTCTTATCTACTACTTACTATTGCATACCTATTATTGTTTTTTTTTCGTGAATAATGATAAACATTATAAATTCCCTGAATAACAACGGGAATAATGAACTTAAAATTAAGATTAACCATTTGACAGATGTCAGATTTTTTAAATTTATTTTTAAAAATTATTTAATTATTTACTTATTGAAGTAGATAAAGTATAGTATTAAACTCGACATTATGCGCATTATTTACTCGGATGATTTAAGTCTCTCGTCTGGCGACTCGAGTTCAAACCTCATCCTCGTATTATAATATTCTATAGGTTTTAATTTATATATTTTTGTAAAAACTTAATAAATTATATTTGACTATTTATGTTCTTTTGAATTTACTAAATATGTATTTGTATCTGTTTATTTCAGGAGGCCTTATCGAACAAATTTGCGAAGAAACACATGAAGACATTTTGCCGGATAGGAGTACTCTCATTCGTGGCGCTAGGTGCCTTTTGGGTGCCATAACGAGAGTACTTCTTTTGGCTGATATCGTCGTAGTCAAGCAACTTCTTCTAGCAAAAGATAAGGTAAGCAAAAAATAAGAGTTATTTTACCTAATTTACGACAACGTTAAAACTTTTAAAAACAATTTATGCAGTGCATTATGAAATTCCGAGTTGTTACTTTGCAAATTTTAGTTTAATATTTTTGCGCTCCTAACTATTTATTATTAACGATATTTACCTACCTACTAACTAAGCACCTAGCCGTTTAATATTAAAATTTTGTAATAAGGGAAAACATTTTTCTCATCTCTCATTCTCTAGCAGTCTTATAAGAGTCGTAAAGGACTAAACTACCAGCAAGTTTCATTAAAGTTAAAGTAATTTAAAAGAAAACAAGTTGTTAACAACTTCTTAATTTACTTGTCCCTGTTTTAAAATTTTGAATGTACTCATTCAACAAACTAAAGCAATCTTCTTACATTGAATTGATTTAATCAAGTATCGCTGATATACGATTGCTTTATATGGGTGTATTTGCTAAGGATTTGGGTTAATAAATGTTCAAATCAATATAACATTAAATTTAAAAAGATTTTTTACTCCTACACCTCCAAATTAAAGTGTTTTGATACAAAGATATTAAATATCTACTTAGATTGAAAATTGTAAAATAATTAAATAAAGTTTATAATATTCTTTAACGAACATCATAATAATTTAACTTAATTTTTAAAATATGTTTTTATATACAGAAAACCTCAAGTTTTCTTAAAGGTGGGACCCTATAGTCCATTCCATTTAAGAATAAAGTAGATGTCGCTGCAAAAGGAAACAGGTTTACTCAGGAGTACGCGGCAAATTGAAATATAATGGAAGTTGTCGTTGATAGAATAATATTATGTTACAACAAATATGGACAAATCATAGCAACCCTGAATGTACCATACCATTCAAAAATAATTTACTATACTAATTAAGACCTTTAGACACAAAACAATACATGTATTATATTATTCTCAGAAAATAAGAACAAATAAACATTAATTTTAGCAACATAACCTTAATTATTTAACTGCATTCCTTTTTTAAATGTCAGTTAATTTCTTTGATGTGCAAAATATTACATATTTTATTATTTTAATACATTTTTATGAGTTTATAATTTAAAAATTAAGGATACAAATAGGTATATCGAGTTTTAATAAAAATGTAAGAAAAATTAAATGGTAAATGAATAATTTTTTTCTTTGAGTGGAAGCATACATCCATGAGTTTCATATGTCCGTTATAAGCGATTGCTGCTCTAAAAGTATTTGCTAAGGAAAATTTAATTAAATTGATCGAATGAAATTAATTAATCTATTATTTGTATATAATGTACCTGATATCAAGAAAATACAGAAGCTTTTGTAAATATTTGGTCTTGGATTTTTTTACATTCATTCTAAACAACTTACGTAACTACTATCATGGGGTCCCTACTTACCCAACTGAAAAAAGTTATTTAAAAAATTAAATCTAGTTTTTTTTCTAAAGTAAGGCTGAAATAAAATACAAATGCAATAAATGAGTTTTATTAAAAAAACAAAATTTGACAGATGATTCACAAGTCAAGATAACTCCAATTAGCAATCGTAATAATCAATATTTCCTTAGAATATATTATTTAGTTCTTAAAACATTTATTTTTAATGAAGATTTTTTAATTTTAATTAAAAAATTAATTAAGTAAGTAAGAAAGTCAAAAATATCCTTTTTACCATGCTGTTGATGGACTTTTTTCAATTTTAACAGAATGATAGGGGTCATTATCCATTACAATAACACTGTTCTCTTTTAATCCTGGTAAAACATTTTTTATCCAAGTCTTAAAAATTGGCTGACTTTGACTCAAATACATTTAAGCCACCTTCCACAAACCCTGTTTCTGAACCAATATGGGTGATAATAAGCCTGAAGCCTGAAGGGTCTTTTATTCCAGTTGATAACCCCTCATTAAATGCCTCCTTTGATAACTTCTGATATTATTAAAATATTATCCTCTCCAAATTACTATTTCACTTTTTTCAACCAGTAAATGATTCCTACCCCTTTTTTTATACTTGAAGCCAATTTTGTCCATGAAATTAGTGGTAAGTTGTCATCTAAACGTTTGTTTTAATAATAAAAACCTATGTATTTAAAGCAAAACCTATTTTTATTATTTTACAGCACCTGGTCAAATTGTTTACATTAAGGGAATTAACATTTTTCTATTCAATTATAATAATATATTAAACATTTTTCAATAACATAATTACTTAATTAATTTTACTTAAAATTGGTATTTCATTATTTATAAAAAAGTTATAAACAACTATAAATTTCTTATATTGACTTGTCGCTTTCTTTTAGCCTTTCCTTTTTGTTCCATTTGTTTTTCTTTATCAATATGTTTTTTTTACCATTTAAAAAGTATTATTCTTTGACCTCTTCCTATATATTGTCTAGATTTGTTTTTAGGAGAGTTGGTTTTCCACATTATCCATATTGTTTATATTGTCCATATTGTCAATATTGTCCCTCAAAAATATAAAAATAGTTCTTTGGATATGTTAAGCGATTGACTTACCTGTTGTTCAGTAACAATTTATTAACGGTTAATGCGTTAAATAAAGCTAATAAATGACAGAACATGCAATAAATTAACAAAATAAATAATTTATATAATAAAAGCTGATTCCACTAGTCATTTAAAACAGATGTACAAAGTACAATGAATCCAACTTTTGAAAAGATATATTATTTCTATTATAGAAATTCTATAATTAAAATATTGTTGACAAATTTACGACAAAAGCTAATATAATATAATTTTATTATTAAAATATTATGAGAACTCTTGCTGGTTTATTGTATAATATTATTATGTCAGTTTGTAAATTTGTTTTTAGAAGCATTGGCAACGCTGTATAAGAAAATATTCAGTGTAAGAAAGCTACGTTATATCAATATCCAAAGTATTAGACAGAGAGGTTTTCAAGTTTTGGCCTGTGTAAATAAAACCACAATTTTAAGCTTCGTGATTAGTCTAAAATAAATCCTATTCAACTCAGCGCTTTATTCTTAAATGGAATACCCTAATTCCCTAGAATAGAACAAATGCACGATTGGCTGTACCGAGCACGTGGCTATCACGAACTAATGTTTACTTATTCTAGGCCCTAGAATCTAGAGAATTGGTAAAATGAATAAACTATTAAACTTGTTAGTTTTATATTTAAGTAATATTCTATGATCAATTTTTTACTCATTATTATTTTAATATTTCAATTTTAAATATATTTTTATAAAAAATTATTATCATATGTTTTTAACATTACATTTATTATTTATGTATAGATGTATAATAAACATTGTATATTAGGGTGGTCGTTATGTAGGGTAAAAAAAAAAATTAACCGGGCCGCCCCTTAAATTGACTCAAAATAGGGAGAAAAAAATGTGTGCCAAATTTCAGCCCTATAGGTCTATCCTAAATTACCCCTGTGAACCACTTGTTCACTAAAAATTGATTTTTTTAATTAAAAATGATAAAGTAATTTTTAATTTTATATTTAGTATAAATAATAATAATTATTGTTATTATTATAATTACGGGAGAAATATTAATCAAATTATGCATACAATACTATACAGGGTGATCCATCTGTGGTACCTTAATTCGGAATCAGTTGCGATGGCATTTTTCGATGAATCAGTATCACTGAATACGAAACGATGCATGGTAACGGAATTAAACCAATCTGAAGATATAGAGAATGTGATTTCTAAAAGGATTGAACTAAAATACAAAGATATGGTTATTTTCTGTAAAAAAGAAATGGATGATTTTGTAACGTCTCAAACACGAAATTTCTTTGTTCGGTTCGGAATCAGTCAAGACTTTTTGTATATTGATCCAGCCCTTTGGAGCGAAAGTGAGAGTTATCAAAATGCATTAAAAATCGTAAACAATCTCAAAGTTGTAAATGATGTTGCGGAAAGGGGGGTTCAATTATTCACTGAGTTTAATCAATTAATAACGAAAGATGAAGACCAAAAACAGTATGCTCTTCAGCTCATCTCTGAATACCGCAAATCCTTCGTAGGTGCAAAAAAAGAAACAATATTAAAACCATTTTAATTTTTCAAATACAGAGTGTTTAAAATTAAGTAAGCATTTTTATTCTAAATTTTGATTTTTTGAATATCTTTAAAGTGTATAGTTTAAATATTTTTATAGTTTTACCTTCGCAATCAGCAGAAAAAATAATAATTGTTTGCTAATTTCGCCGAAATCATATGATCAACAATAACGAAGTTAGCAATGGTGCGCCCTTAATATGGATCACCCTGTATAGTATTGTATGCATAATTTGATTAATATTTCTCCCTTAATTATAATAATAACAATAATTATTATTATTTATACTAAATATAAAATTAAAAATTACTTTATCATTGTTAATTAACAAATTAAATTTTTAGTGAACAAGTGGTTCACAGGGGTAATTTAGGATAGACCTATAGGGCTGAAATTTGGCACACATTTTTTTTTTTCCTATTTTGAGTCAATTTAAGGGGCGGCCCGGTTAATTTTTTTTTTACCCGACATAACGACCACCCTATTGTATATGTATATGAATACTAGTTCAGGAATGTAGTAACAAAGAAATTTCGCCCCTGCGTATCTAGCAAATACCTATGTAAAAATACCTATGTAACAGAATAGATTAAAATAAGTATAGGTACCTATTTAAAATATTTACTTGTAGTGAGTGGGCTTCTCTATAGTTGCATTTTCCTATTGTAAATAGCTTTGTTGCTATTTACAATAGGAAAATGCAACTATAGAGAAGCCCACTCAAGCTTTCCTTTAAAACATTTCTATGTAGGTGGAGACACAGGTTTATTAAGAAATATCATTAATCTTAGTTGTTTGATTTCGCGTAGGTTATATTGATAAATGCAGCAAGCGGATCAATATACAACAAAGGGATCTTTTATATAATTTTCTATTTTAAAATCAGCTTAGCTTATAGGAAATTAAAAGGCAGCGGGTTAATTTAATACATATATTGAAATACTAATAAACTCTTTATATACTAAACCATCAACAATAATAATATGTAGAACACTCGGTATATAATAGAAAATGATATAATTAAATTAATAAACTGAAATAATGTTAAAGCCAGATAAATGTTAACAATAAAAGTAAATGAATAAAAAACGGTAAACAATCGAAATAAAAACTAAAGCTCACACTTGCAGCAAATAGGAATAAGAAAATAGATTGATAAATCTAACAATGCAAATGAACTAAAAATATGGAAAAGCAATTGAAATACGGCGGTTGAAGGCAGCGTACGGATATAGGGCGGTGCAAGAATATTATGCGGGGTGGCTAGGGTCACCCGACATAATTATAAGTACAATTCATATACTCACGGTTGTATATGATTCAGAGGCGGCAAAATATAGAGAAAACTACGGCTTCGCGGCAAAGGATTTAATAATAGAATATTTCGTATAGAATATTTCCTTAAACCTTTGTTTCCCGGATTCGGTTTTCGGTCTAAAGGTTACGGAAGAGAGCGTAGTAGAGCGGTCGGAAACCCCGAAGGTAAGAGAACCTTTAATTGCTCGGTTTTGATTTTTTATACGTATCATGACGGTTGCGCAGCGGCGGTATTACGGACCTAAAACGGCGCCTACTTATATCCACTCGTTCGTATTATAATACTACAATCGGTTTACAGGGTGTTTTAGCGGAATTAATATGAACAGTACCAACGGTTCGAGCTGCCAGATTTCATAACAATCTACACCACAATTCAACTAGTGCTTTTACGGTAGCGTTAGTTAGTATTTTTCCAAACAATGTTTAAAATAAAAATTAAATGATTCGAGAAGGGAAATCAATCAGTACCAAAATTGGTCCTCATACTCTCCTCCTTAGGGGGAACAGGGGGTAACTTTAAAATTTCCAATGGAACACCCTATTTTTTCTTCTGTATGTGTTATCCAATAATTTTTGAATAAAATACTTGGTTTTATTTTTTAAATTTATTTACTTATTTTTAAAATTTTAATTAAAGTAGGTGCTCAAAATAACAATATTAAATATTTGCTCAACGAACTATTTTTTTCGGTTGAACACTCCCGTTTGTAGTAAACTGCTTGACTTACGGTGAAATGAAGTACGTGATTAAATTTTTTCCGGAAAACGCTGAGCGTAGATATTAACAGTATCATCAAGATTCCTGCCTGCTTCTCCATAAATCAAAATCATTTCTATTTTTTCTTCCACTGTTAAAAAACCCATTATGAATAACTGCTTAACGAAAGGAGGTCTTTTTGTTTGCAAATTAATCTTCGAACTAAATTGTTTAATTAATGCTAAAATATGTATAAATAATTTCTTTATACCTTAATAATAATTATATTTATAACTAAATACCATTTTTGAAACCTCAATTGGGATTAAATTAATTAATTGACAAAATAAGTTTTTTTTTTACCTTAAACGAGGTGTTTTTGCTGTGTGTGTTCGTCATCTTCAACGTCATCACGGCCATCTTGGAAACTCTTATACCACTTTTAAACTCTTGTTTTACTTAAAGCATACTCACTATAGGCCTTTGTTAACATTTCACAGAATTTATTTCATTTTTTAAGCAAAATTGGATACAAATTCTTTGATCCATTTCTTTTAACGAACGAAAATCGCCGAGCTCATAAAACACGTCCAACCTTAGCGGCTGCAACAATGAACACAGCTAAAGTAAAGTTTTTATACTTCGGGGGCATGTATACAAACATAATAAAGAAAATTTTATGACAACCGGACCCTCTGAACCCGCGAAATTTAACAATTTCCGTTATTTTCTGAACACACCTCGTACCTGGCATTAAATAATGCACATACTTTTTCGGTCAATAAACCCAACCATCATTAAAATTTCAGTACGCATTGTTTTTCAAAATTTATTCTACTATTACGTGTGAAAATTTTAATGAATGTCAAATTAAAAATGAATTACAGGTAAACGATGTGAAGCACCAAAAAAGAACTATACAAAAAACTTTTGTATAAATTTAAATTTTTTTAAAGTTTAACGCTCAGCCACCTGATATCATTCCTGTATCGCTTAAATATTATTACACCGCTGTGATCAGAAATTTTAAATTCTGATACGTATTTAGTTTTTTGATTTGGAAATATCACTGTAAAATTTAAAATGAACTACCAAACAACTTTTATTTCAAAAGTTATCCAAATTTTTGAGCCACCCTGTATATATTTTTAACGGCAGGATGTATGTCTTAATATAAATCAATAGTGTAACAATTTAATAATTACTCGAAAAAGTTATCGAAGATTTTCCATTGATTCATCACTTTCCTTATAAACGATCCGTTGAACTTCATAATAACATCTTTCAGGTTTTTGCTGACAAATAGACGGAGCGCTGTCCATTTTCATATTTCAATTTGCATCCGTTCTTTTGCAGGTGTCCCACAGTCTGGATCGACTGGAATCCGTCAACAACTTTACGGAGTTCGTGAAAGCATTCAGCCAGTTCGGTGCTGAGATGGTCGAGCTGGCCCATTTGACGGGCGACCGGCAGAACGACCTGAAGGACGAGAGACGGCGGGCGCAGATGGCCGCCGCCAGACAAGTGCTCGAAAGGTCGACCATGATGTTGCTTACGTCGAGCAAAGTGAGTAGTAGACCTGCTTCAGTTTTTCATTCGCGGAATTTTAAGGGACAAAATATGTTTTGCATTTACAAATTAAACAAGAAATTTACTCTGCTAAAATTCTTTTGTTTATCATAAAAAAATGACGTATTTTTTTATTTCAATATTATAATGAAAATTGCAGAGTTATGACTTTTCTAAATTTTAAAACTTGTAAGGTGGGGACCCCTGCCTCATCATTTAATGAAAAAGGGTAATACAAAAAAATATAATAATAGAATAAGGTTTAATTTAATTGGCCAAATAGTTGTTATCGTCTCGGTGTGAAATGTAACTTAAAACCTCCAACTACAGTTCTCTTTCATACTTACTTATTGTCAGGAATTGTTTAAATAAAAATTAAATAATACGCATATAAAACGTTGAGTAAAGAGTTAATTAATTTCATTTGTAATCTTGTCAATATTGTAGACTTGTATGAACATAGAAGTAATTTTGAATATTTCTTTGGTCCAGTAGTTAAATAAATTATTTTACTACAACTCAATCAATGCTCGAAACGTCTGCTATTCGTGTAGTTAAAATAAGGTTAGGATTATGGTCAATCCGTAGATGCCCTGATCCAAAACCTAATAGTCAAAATCATTACAATTATACCGTGCAGGTAGGGTGGTCAACCAAGAATATATAGGTACTGAGATCCTGAACCTCGTCGATAAAAATAACGACGGTGTTAACAACATATTGTGTGTAAAGCCATTTAGGCAAGTTTGTAAACCATTTCAGTAATAATATTGTTGTTGAAACTACCCTTTAGGTAATATACTTTTAATTGTGACACTTCTTATTGTGCCATTTAGGCGACACCTATTTGTTGTAATTTTTTATATTTAATCTTCAAGGAGCATGGTCAAATTATAAACATACCTCAAAGGACCCTAAACTCAATATTTTTCTTAATAATAAATAATTAAGAAAAATAGGCATTTGTTTGAGGTACGTGACTACAAGCATTGTGTAATGGCAGCCGTTCGAGAAATTAAAACATGTAAAACAATCATTTACAACAAAATATGTAATATAAATAATATCAAGACTAACCTGTTTATTCTTCTAATATGAAAGAACCACAATGTACGAAGATCATCCTCTTCTTTTAGAAGTTTTTCTGTTTATTATTATGTGTGTAGTCACTCACAGCCAACACCCCTAATAATCCAATCGAAAAACCTTTTTCGAGCCTCCTTCCCACCATCATCATATAATGGACTTGTCCAAAAACAGTAGAAGCTTCTGTATGCATGCGCATCGTAGAACTTAAAGTTTCTTTAATTCTTTTTAAGGATTAACAGCACTAATTCAAATATTAATTAAGTACCTACCCTATTTACGATAACTAGATAATTCACAATAACCTTCTAAACCCAATAATTACATTTTTATAAAAATAATAATGATTATGAAACCAACAACGCACAACTGTACAAACAGTTGCCTAAAGCCTAAAGTTGTAATTAAATAATAATATTCAATTAGGGATATTTTAATATTACAAAAATATAAGTAAGAATTTGTCAAGACTAGTGATATTTTTTAGAGAATACTGATCCATTATAATGGATCAGTATTCTCTAAAAAATATCACCGTGTAAATCTAATATTAGATTTACACGGATTACATTTTTTAATTATCTAAAAAATTGGGAATTTAATTTTTCAAATGTCACTGTCGAATCCCTTATCGAACTTTACTTTTGCTACAACTAATAAAACGAGAAATAATGTTGTCTTCGGAGCTAATAATTCAGAAAAAAAATTCAAAAAAAGCTAAAACTAAAACCCTTCTAACATTGCATTCTGCTGAGAAATATTCCCATTTATCAATCAGAAGAAGAGCAACTTCAAACAAATCTTTAGAGCAGAACAAAATTATTTCGTTTAAACGAGGGATAAATTAATTTAAAATCAGAGAGACCAACGTTTAACGTTATGTGGACGTTGTGTTCTGATTTTTTCCTTGTCAGTCGTTATCAATAAGGAAAAATCCTTATCAATAAGAAATTTCTCTTAGCGACGCGTTGCGCATGACTACCCTTGTGATTGTTGAGCCGTTAATTCGTATGCCATTTTTAATTTTAAATCAGTGGTTTACCCTTGTTTCTAAAACACACTTTTGATAAACTCTCGAAGAAGGCGATTTATACGTTTATATTTTTGGTTGTGGATGGGAGATACAATTTTGAATCCAAGAAACTTTCATAAATTTGTTGTATTTTCTAAAGAATCCACAGTTTCAACCAATGGTGTAGTTCTATTCCAAAATTGTCGATATTGAAGCAGTCGAAATCCACATTTTACCATATTTCAAAAAGATTACGTGTTGTGCGCTATTACCTATCATGGCGTGGTTGGGCCGTATTTTATTAATGGAAATTTAAATCACCATACTTATTTGGAGATGTTACATTTTTTAGTAAATTAATTGGATGAACTGCTATTAAATTAATATAATTCATTTTTTTTAATTATTTGTTTATCGGAAAGTCTACTTTTACCAGAGTACACATTTGTAAACCGATTTTGATTCCAGTTTCTTGTTCGGGACCCTTGATATTTAACAAAATCCAAGCTGCTCCTCTTTTTAAAATTTTTTGAAAATTCTTAATTTTTTTTTTAATTTTTGTTATCTTACCTTTGACAGAGTATACATTTGTACACCGATTTTTATAATGAGCACATCATTAGATTTATCCAGGGTTAGCCAAAAATCACTTTTTTATATAGTTAAAAGCATAATATTTATCTCCAAAAAATTTTATTTTATTTAATTTTATTCAAAATCAACTTTTCTTATAAAGTCTTAATAAGAATCCCATTTTGTTGCCTGATAAACATAAATATATCTAAAAAAACATGGGTTTGTAAATATCTTTTTTGCTTGTTAAGCCAAAATCATGAAGTTACGCTTTTGCTTTAATAAAAGAAGCGATTTTTGGCTAATATATTAAATGATGTGCACAGTATAAAAAAGTTTAGGCACACCGTGTACTATTAAATATGGACAAAAGCCTTTAATTGTCCAATACTTAAACATAAGAGTTACCATATATTTCATTGTAGGTTCAAGGAATTTTTCTTGCATTGCTGCATATTCTGACAAATGAATTTTACAAGATAAAAAAATAAGAAATAGTGGTTTTTTATTTTGATGATCCATTAATATTAAACTTACTGAATAAATGTATTATTACTTATTTATATAGGGTTTTAGTTACACAATAAATATTAGTATAAAAATATTAATATAAATTAACAGAATAATACTTGTTTAATTAAGTTTTTAATAAAAAAAAAAAATAAAATTAATTTTTAGAAAAATAAACAAAAACGATATAATAAGTTAACCGAAACTTTGTGTAGCTTCTACAAAAATTTTTTCTTTATTTTATTCCATTTAATTTTTTTAGGCACTTGCCACAATTATTTAAAAATATATAATTTGGTTATATTCTGACAAAATATTAAAATGAAATACTGTGCGCTCGGGTTTTGTTTTTACGGAGAGGATAAGGTTTACAGCCCCTTACCCAAAAGAAACAAAAACCCTGAATATTATTATTAATGGAAAAACAAAAAATTATCTACCATTTTAAAGGGCTTAATTAAATTTTAAAGGGTCTTATCAACGCTTATAAAACATTCACATTACGCCTCTTTAGTAAAGTCTTAAGCAAGCATTAACTAATCCTTGTATTTATTAATTATAAATATCAGGCTATAATAGTTTTTAAAATTAATTATCATTGACCAAAAACTTTTTATTTCTATATGTTATTAGTAAATTTTTGTTAATATGTTATTATTATTATTATTATGTATATTATTAAATTTTTTAAGAGTTTACTAAAAGATATCGCTTTTCTGGACAATTTTAACAGCCCACACATCAATTAAATATTTAATTTTTTTAATAATTATTTATTGACTAAACGTTTATTACTTCTTACCTTTTTATTAAACTTATTTTAAATATTTGTGTTATCAGCAATATTTGATGAGTCTACAATTTAGTTCTAACAAGCTCGGGTCAAAATCCTTTTACCATTTTAGGGTTATGAAAAATTACCATTGTCTTATGAAAATCAATGTTAAACTAAATTTATATTCAAATTTAACTGAAGTTCCATAAAACCCTTAGATTTAATACACCACAAAACTTGTAGATACAATGTGTCGATTGGGGATTAATGCTCAAATTTAATACCACAGTTTGCATCTAACAATTCACAACTTTCAAGCCAAAGATTAACTATCGAAAATTGCATTTAAATTAGTCCAACCTAAGTTTCAAAGCAAAGCTTCTTAAGCAGAATGGCCTTTGTAATAATCGTCAACAACAAGTAGGGCTATGAGAATGACACAATGACTATTTATACAGATATATAAAGTGTTTTTAAATTTAATGTAATTTAAAGTCAATAAACCATTGTCTTAAGAGTCAAGTTAAAAGCAAAATTATGTTTATATTGAATTTTGAAATCTGTCGTTTAAATATTTGCGAAGCTAATATTTTTTATTAGTTAAGATTAAATTAATTGTAATTAAGAAATAAAACAAATATACGATGTCGTGTAAATATTTACTAAGCTAATATTTTTTATTAGTTAAGATTAAAATTAATTGTGATTAAAAAATAAAACGAATATACGATACCTTTATAATCCTACTATTGAAATAAAACCTAAAGAAAATGGTACACAGTGTAAGGTGGAGACCCCTGCCTCATCGTTTAATGAAAAAGGGTAATACAAAAAAATAATAATAATATAAGGTTTAATTTAATTGGCCAAATAGCTGTAATCGTCTCGTTGTGAAATGTTTAACTAAAAACCTACATAGTAACTACAGTTCTTTTTCAAGGTATCATACTTACTTATTGTCAGGAATTGTTTAAATAAAACACTAGCATGTTCATTTTATGACTTATTTATTTATAAGATCAGAGGTGCCACTATTTCTCT